TATTGACTTATTATCTTTATAAAATAAATTATAATATTAGAAAATATAAATTAATATAACATGATTGATTCAATATTAATTAGATTATCAATCTTAACTATATAAAATTTAGCAACAAAAAATTAATAAATAAAATACAAATGAAGAACTTTGGTGGTTGATCTGATTAAAAACTCTGGTTAATTTCTAAAATTTAATAATTATATAATATATAATAATCAAATAAAAAAAAATATTTTCCATACTTTTTAATAAAAAATTTGAAGTATCGCGTAATGTTTTGCGTTACCGTTATTCAAAAAAGAAAAAGTGTTTTTCCTCAAAAAAGTAACAACATTACTTTCATCAACGTTATTTTACAGCATCAATTTTTAGATAACCTAATATGAATAAATTTAGTTATCATACCCCCTTTTTTAAAAAAAATATTTTATAAAAAAGATATTCATTTGCACATCTCTGTAACTAAAATGATTAATATATGAAATATGTATACATATTAGAACTCAAAACGCTTTTGGAATTTAAATTAAAAATATTAATCAAAGATAGATATTAATTTATATCAAAGATAATTCATATACATATGATGAAGATTTTAAAATACGATTAAATTATTAGAATTTCAAAATAAAGATTTGGGAATTTAAATTTTTAATCAATATTATCAGATTCTCATTTTTCGAGGTAACGAAAGTAACTTTTCTTTGAATAACGGTAACCGTATTTTGTCAAGTAACGTGCCCAACCCTGGTTGTGTGCATATTATAGCGTCGATGAATCTCATAGACATATATTAAGCATTGATCACGCCTGTTATTGTGTACTTAGTTGGATGTTCTATTTCATTTTCGTTTATTAGACTTCTCACTGTAAATTATACGTCAGTATTTTCATTTAACGCGACTATTAAATTTTTGTAAATACAGGTAAATGAAGACAATTCATATTACAATACTGATTCATTTGTCAATTGTGAAACTTTCTTCAAGGTCTTTACAAAAATATTTTTGATAATTATTTATCAAAATGTTTTGGATACAAATATCCCACATTAGTTATAAATTCTTTATTCGCCAAAAAACTGTGATTAATTATAGAAATAAATACTACTACAATTTAACATTAGATCGGATGTGCGTGCGTTCATCATTGCATTCATCGCTAAACATTATCTTCGCTTGACTTATTATATTTTTTAGTACCTCATTTTGTATGCGTATGTTTAGAAATTAAATCAGGAATATTTCAATTTAAATTTATAATCATTTTTATAGTTTTCTTTTAAATGGATGTGAAGGTTATAAAACAATAATCTTCCAGCATTTCCCAAGCAGATAAAATATTTAAATTTTTATTTAGAATGATTGAGTATCCATTCTTTTATTTGATTCGTCAAGATCAGCGGATATCTTATGTATTATTTATTCGCAAATAAAATTGTTTGCTCTCTCTATCTCTCTATCTCTCTTTTTTTTCTTTTTAAATTTAATTTAAATATTTTAATACTTAGAAAATTATTAATAAAACAAAGATTTATTAGCTAAAAATAATAGAGTACCTTTCGATAACTTCTTGTTTGTTAATCAGGCTCTAGTATATAAAATATTGACCCTGAAATAATTAGTATTTATATTTCCTAGAATTTCTTCTTAGCTTCTCCTATCAAAAAATATTATCTTACTTGCTGGCCCAATGGGCCCTTTATATAAAATAATAGATTTTTAACTTTTCATTTCACATTATTTCATAGTATTATATATTATTAACACAATATTTATATTTTAAAATAATAAAAAAAAAATTATAATTTTTTTACATACGGGCTGAATATACTTAAATGTTCATTACAAGATTTGTTTTTTTGCTTATGATTTTTGTGTCTTTTTTATATTAGGGTAAATAATTATATTCTTAGTTTAGAGGCATATCTAATACTATTAATGTCTGAATGACATTTTTCAATTGGCTGATATTTATTTAACACCATTTGGTAGAATTTCTTTCCCCTTTTTATTTGACCATCTGCATATATAATCTTTAATGACATTCAACGAAACAAAAGAAATAAGGAAGCTAAGCAGGTATCTAGACATGGATTTTTACTAAAGATATTTTTTAAGTTATTTTGTCACTTTCTCATTTCCATTAGATTCAAATAATTTTATCTGAATATGGGAAATTTTCCCAGGTACTCGATAAAGAATGATAGAATTTTTGAAGGGTTCATATGACATATTATCTAGATTATTTTTATGGGTTGAATCGAGGCAACATTCAGAATTGTTGTCTTCCTGTCCTACCGAATTTTATTGATATTCATGATATCTGATTAAAAAATTATTATAGAAATATTTATATGCCTAAATTTTGTTAAAATAATTTTAGGGGAAAAAATAGATTGGTAATAATGTAATTGTAAAAATAAAAATATATTCAAAATTTCTATGGATTTTTTACCAGTAGAATGCCAGATACCAGAAAAAAATATATTAGTGTTACAATAATAGAATAAAATCGTATTCTTATCATCAAAAATTACTAAAATAATCTATATTCATTAGTGACAATATGATTTAGAGCATAAGGTCCAATGGATCCATTTGGGCGATAGTGGGAGTCATCATTGATAACCCGGTGGAATTTTTGGACAAATTTTATAGTTATTATTTGATAGGTATATTATGAGCAATAAAATAACTCAAGAAAATAAACTTGAATAAGTTTTTTACCAGGTTAGTAAGCTAAAGATTAAAAATTATTTATAAATAAATAAAAACGGAGGAGAAAGCATAAAAATAGTTTTCTTACTTACCCAAATTAACCAAATAATCATTTGCTATATCGGTTTCTTCGGCATTGAGCAAAATTTTTTAACTGTCCGCTTCATCTTAGAAGAAACTTAAATTGTCTAAATCTTGATATAGCGAAATATCATAAACTTGTATAATATCATGTAGGCAAATGCAAATTATGCATAGTGTAAAAAATAAGCAAATATTATATAAATTAATAATCATTTCCAAAATTTATATCAAGTTTCTATAAGAAAATGTTGAATATTCTAATATACAATTCACAATATAATAAAATATATGTGTTTAAACTAGTATATTATTATGACTTTACATGTAATCCTAGAAAATGTAAGACGAAATATAGAAATATTTATTTTCCCTCGTGGTGCCTGAGTAAATAAAGATTCCTAGTTACGGTCCTCATATAATATAGGTCAAAATAATACCTATTTTAAGCACTTGATTCAAACGCTCTAATAATAGTAGAATTTTCTAAATATTAATTTTAACCCATATCTTTATGGCTTTTTAATTCTAACTTTGACCTATAGATTAATTTTTGAAAAATATTGATCCGGCCGGGGATCGAACAAAAGAAAAAATGATAGTAAATTTTTTATAATAATAGCTCAGTCGGAATAATTCCCTCAAAATATTTAAAGAATTCATTTAATTTGTCAGCACAAAATTTTTTTTTTAGTGATTCCTCTTTTACCCCGTGTCTAAAATAAATAAACAAAATGTGAATAGTTGGAAAAGTAAAATATAATTCTTTCACATTATTATTCTAATTTTGAAGGTGAAAGCAGGAGTATCAAATTTTTTTTATCATTTTTTGAATTTAATAATTTAATTCAGTGGCATAACTTCCCTTTTTAAAAGGGCCATAATATTTTGAATTACCGTTCTATATATAAAATTATAAAAAATTTATATTTTGCAGCATATATTTAGAAAATTTTAAAGGAAACACATCTAGTTTTTTTTTCTTTATAAAAATTAAATTTTAGTATAAAATTTGATTCATTTGAATAAATCAAAATTAGTTTCTTTAGTTTCTTTAAATTTTCTTAATACAAAAATTTATATAGATAAAATGTATATTTTTTCTAAAAGCTGAAATCCTACAACCTAAGTCTAGAGAAATGATAGAATAAGAGCGGCCATAGTATTTAAAAACGCCAAATGTCGAGGTTGCTTAAGAAAAACGGCACTTTGCAAAATATTACAAAATGGAGGAATACTTTTTTTTATTACATTATTTTATTGCTTAAAGAAGAATACTTTATATTAATATTTAAAAAATTCTTATAGCAGTAAATAGGAGAGGGATAATTCTTATTTAGAAGACGGAAATGCCCTTAAGTAACCCTTTGGATATGCATAACTCGTTTTAATTAATTATTATAGGGTTCTATTTTGATTTCGTTTCAATAAATTTCTACATAGCAATTTAAAAAAACTATATTTTTAAATAAATATTTTAGTTTATGAAGGAAACTTCTAAGGATAGATTTTAACCCGAAATATTTTCAAACAACATATCATAGTGCTAAAACCTTTAATAAAATATTATAAATTATACATTTAAGATTTTAAAAAATAATAGAAAACATGGGTCTAAAGTACTATTTATCGGATATATATTTTCCTGAGAAAATAAAATTAAAATTTTTGCCCTAGCGTTTATATCAGAGAATTTTCAATGATCAAGTCCAATCCAATCTGAAATTTATTAAAATGTGTAAAAAAAGATATTTCAACGGAGGTCAAAAAATTTTAAGTGCTGAAGCAAAATAAAAAATATTCTTAAAAAGACCAAAATAATATGAATTCTATGTCTGATCAAAAATAAATTTTAAATTGAATCCTGATCTTGACCGAGTTGGAGAAAAGATTTGTCGGTGCCCGACCGCCTTGAATCGGTCGTGGGTGCTACTCTATATCCATTATTACAATAGTCTATTTATTTTACAAAATACTTATTTTGGCAGAGGCAAAATGAATTAATGATTTCTTAAGATTAAAATTGTTTCTTTAAAGGAGGAAAGGGTTTTCAATTATTGGATTACAAATAAATATCTATCGCCTTGCTTGATCCTAATCTCAACACTTTCATTTTAATATTGAGCATGAATATTGAATTTATAGGAATTATTTGTAAAATGACAAATCTTCTTTCAAAATTATATATTTAAATACCAATAAAATCCATATCGAATAATGAATTGAAATACCCAATTAATGTAAAGTCAATTTATTAATTATTTATTCATAATATCTTTTACGTTATTTTTCAATATAATGAAATAGGTGACCTTTAAACATAAAACAAAAAACAACTTAAAAATAAAAATTTTGCGTGTTAGAGGAATATATTATTATTAACCATATTTATTTATGTAAAAAAAATAAATATAAAAAAAAGTTTGAAATATGAATAAAAAAGAATGAATAATTGGTAAATAAACAAAGATGTTGTTATATTTAAAAAATATTATCAATAATTTGTAATAGATAAATAAATAAAAATAAATTTAATCAATGCTGCACACTTCAATATAAAAAGTTAAAAATAAATAAATATAATATTATAAAATCAATATTTTTTGGTTTTCTCCGAATGTAAATTTTTTAATAACTATTTTTTTTTCTTCAAAAATATAGATAATAATATTTAAATTAAAGTTTTTAAATTGTGATAAAGCCAAAGTTGTGTAGCTCTATCGACCTGGTATATGCAATATGCGAAAACACTTTCACAAAAGGCTCAACATATTTTCGACATAATAATTCAGTAATTAAAATATATGAAAATTCAAGTGTACATATTAGTGCAGTCAAGGCCTACCTCAGAGCATCAAAAAACAAGTCATTTAGTGTAAAAATATTTAATGAAAAAAAAATCGACAAATTTATAACAATGTCCACATAATAAAACAAATATAAAAATGAAAATTTAAGTTATGAGAATTTCCTGAAAATGATTCGTATTGAATGATCAAATACCTAGAGAACATTTAGAGAAAGCTATTTTAAAGAGCAAATGTAGAAAAGCTTAAACTCTCTGACAAATCAAAATCGAGGGGAAGAGGTTCTCTCATAACCTTGTTTTCAAAAGCTATTGATAACAAAGTTATCGATGTTGTTCTTGATCAAATCAGGAATTTAATAAAAAAGGAGATTGGTAACAAACGGTTTAGTTTGTAAATGGATAGTACACAAGACGTTAGCATTTATGTTCAAGCAATCATTTGCCTACGTTATATATATAATGGTAAAATAACTATTTTTAAATGATATTTATGAAAGATTTCTATCTGCTGAATCCTATCAGCAATATAAGATTTAATTTTTAGAAAGGCTATTTTACAAAAGTTACAAACTCTTCTTGAAAATATTTTTTAATATCTTGAGTGAATGCTTTTTAAAACATGGAATTCAAATGAGAAATATAATTGGAGAATCATTTGATGGTGCTGTAAATATGCGGGGTGAATTTGTTGGATTGCATGCTCTTTGACCAGCATATTAAATCTCTCTGTATATGTGATTCATGCATATTGAAGGCAAAAATTTATTTGGATTATTGAACAGACTAGCAACTTTCTTTGGTGAATTATGTAAAAGAATGGATGCTTGGGTGAAGCAGAATAATTCATCTGCCCAAAATAAGTTGAGAAGGCTGCAAAAAATAGGTGAGACAAGGTGGTGGGCACGTAAAAGAGCCCTTATATGGATATATGCTAAAGAGAGCTTTCTCCCATTAACGATAAGTGCACATCAATTTATAAGAGATAATAAATCATTTGAAACAAAAACCTCATCAGATGCGCAGTCTTTGATCAATAATTTATGTAAATTTAAGACTCTAAGTACAGCTATAATATATTTGGATTTTTGAAATAATAGGGCCACTGTCATTATATCTTCAAACTAAAAATTTAGATATTTTATCAACATGGAAAATGATAGAAGATGCTAAATCTTCTGTATCATCGATAACTATTATATCGATTCAAAATAAATAAAAATGGCTTCTAATTTAAAATGAAACACTTTCAAATTTAAAACTCCCGGAGAGTATCTGTGTACAGAATGCTCTGCGCCTAAAAATCGAATAGGATGAGCGAGAATATATAGTGACGAAGGCCAAGATGAACGTCCTCAAGAATCGATTGACCTTTATAGGGTCGAAGTATTTCGTCCTACAATTGATCAAATTATAAACAGCTTGTCGAAACGATTTTCTGTGAATAAGAGTTATTTTGAATGTGCAATATTTGCATTCAGGCATTTTGATGAAATAAAATAGTAATGATATTTCTAAAAAGGGCTTGGAAAAACTGGCACAATTTGCAAATATATTGACTGTTAAATTACGTAACGAATTGTTTATATTTTCCAGTGTTATCAAAGATTTAATAGTAGAATTGACTATGATATCTTATGTATGTACCAGTGAGAAGTCAAATGAAGTAGATGGAATATTACAGTATGATAATAACTCAAGTGTGATAATAAATGTAATAAGTGTTTAATATGCTACAATATGCACATGTGCATATTGTAGCATATTAATACATTTTAACTTTGTCATTTACGCAGGTTAATTGCGAGAGAACATTTAGTAAATTAAAAATTATAAAAAATTGGTTGAGAGCTAATATAGGCCAAGAAAAATTTTAATGATGTCAATTGAACGAGAGCTATTAGCGCAGACTGAACTAGAAGATAATCTTGTTTATTTTCGCAAAGGTTCAAAGTTAATGAGAGATTTAATAGCGTAAAAATTTTATATTATCTTAATTCCTGTATTTAAATCTCATTTATATCTATTTACAATATGATCGGTGCTTGATTTTATAAGTGCAGCAATTTTATTCTCTGTGTAAAATTGTATAATTGCAATAATTTTCTATGTGTAATTAATTTTTTTAGCCGGGGTGGCCTAATGGGTTATGATATATCCTTGGAAACAGAAGGACGCAGGTTCAATCCTAGTAAGGAACGTAAAATTTTCAGGTTTTTCTTCGATGACTGATGAGTAAAGACATATGGTAAAATGAATTTCGGAGCTGAGAGATGACATCCAGGTCACCGACAGGCTTGGACAGCCGGGTGCTAAGAATCCTTGTCCAATAAGCAAAAATGAATATAAAAAAATCTGAATATTAAAGCTAGGGCATTCCCTTCAAGCGACGTGCAGGGTGTAGACCTCCCTATGAAAAGTAAAATAAAGGTCAAAGCAAAGAAGACAAAGTTAGCAAGTTTGAATATTGGTACACTTAAAGGTAAGACGAGAGAATTGGCATTAATGTTGAACAAAAGTTGATATAGCGTGCATACAAGAGACGAAATGGAAAGGTCAAAAGACTTTAATGATTGGAGATGGGTATAAATTGTACTATAATAGAATTCTTAGTAATAGGAACGGTGTCGGTATCATCTTCAGTCAAGATCTAACCTCATCAATGGTAGAAGTTAATAGGATCTCTGATATACTAATGAAGATAAAACTCTGCATTGGTCAATCAATACTACACATCCTTTCAGTATATACTCCTCAAACAGGTTGCAAAGAAGAGGAGAAAGACGACTTTAGAGCTATCCTTGATGAAACTGTAGTGGAATTACCTAAGGATGACCTAGTCATAATAGGTGGTGACTTAAATGCACATGTGGGAAAAGCAAGAGATAGCTACAAAAATCGTCACAATTTCGAGTATTGAAATTGGGTAATTAGAACCTAAATATAAAATAGAAATAAAAATATATACTAAAATATGATTATAAATCTTTATTAAATAAATAACTATAATCAAATACAAAGTGAAAAACATAATCATAATATAAGAAAAAAAAATTAATATAAAAATAAAAGTAAAAATTAAAAATTATATGTAAAAGTAAAAATTAAAAAGTCTACCAATCAAAAAATAAAAGTTCATCATCCCACTTGTTAAAACTTTTATAGTATGAAAAATCTACAATTATCACGCGTTTTCATCTCAATTACATAGACGGGGATCTAAGTAATAACTTAATAATTTTAATAAAACATTATTTTTGTTTGAATATTATTACAATTTAAATAATGCATTTTTTTTGTAACGCAAAAATGCAACAGGCATCATGGTGGTTTTGGATATGGAGAAGGAAATGATGAAGGAGAGCATATACTGAAATTTGCGCAAGCCTTCAACCTTGCCTTAACCAACACCTATTATAGGAAAAAAAGTGGTACAAGGAACAAGTAAAACACAGATAGATTACATACTAATCTATCGAGAAGATTAAAAGATGTAATAGACTACAAAGTCATCCCAGGAGAAGATATAGCCGCGCAACACAAGCTACTAGTCATGGATTTACACATCACAAATAAATCCACTCAAAACAATATAAAACTGGAACCATGCATCAAATAGGGTAAATTAAAACAATGACAAATGCCTTTGTAATCAATGCAAACATTGAAACAATAGATTCCTCACAAGTCAGTGATCCAGATTAATAGCCACTGCCAAATCGACACTAGGCTTGACAAGGGGAGGTAACAAATCATAGAAAGAACTATGGTGGTGGAATGAATAGATACAAACCACTATACAGGAGAAAAAGTCCTTTATAAAATATAGTACAAATCCAAAAGCCCAGATAACAAGACAAGATACAAAAAATCTAAGAGATTAGGTATAAAGGCGGTGGCTAGGACCAAATCTATGGCATACGATGACATGTATGAAGAACTACATATCAAAGTAGGGCAAAATAAAATCTACAGATTAGCCAAACAGCGATAAAAGAAGTAATCAAGAATAAAGATGGGAAATTGATAATAAAGGAAAAAGAAATAATGAATAGATGGAAAGAATATTTTCAGGAGCTTCTCAACTTTAATTCCCACATACTACATTTAGATGAACACTCCCCATGTCAAAACCTTATACCACCAATAACAGAACAAGAGAAAACATATGCCTCAGGCATATGAAAAACAACAAAGCTAGGAGTCCAGAGGATATTCCAATAGAAAGCCTTAAAGCACTAAGAGATGTTGGAATACATTTCCTCACAAATCTATACAATAAAATACTTTTTTCAAAAATGGAGGCAGAGCTATCTAGTTCCTCCTATCTTCAAAAATAAAGGGGATCCACACAATTGTCAAAATTACAAGGGTATAAAACTAATGTCACACTGTCTAAAACTATACGAAAAAATAATAGAAAAAAGATTAAGAGACATATTCGAAATAGGAGAGACTCAGTTTGGCTTTATGCCTGGAAGATCAACAACTGATGCTATCTACGCAATTA